GCTAAGTTGCTGAGGCTGGCTTTGAACTTGAGATCCTCCTGCCTCAGCCTCCTGAGCTGCTAGGGTTACAGGCATGGGCCACCGTGCCTGGCTTTTGTTGCCTTTTTACCAAGGTGAAAGGAGGTGAACTAGAGGCACTTATGGAGGTCACACAGCTAGCTACCGTCTGAATGGGGATCTGCACCCCCACGTGGTGATTAAACAGGGGCAGCTATGGAATCAGATGAGGTTCACATCCTGGCTCCACCTGTTGCCGGCTGGGTGATCTTGGGCGTGGCATGTCACCTCTCCACTCTTCACTCTCCTCTATTGCACCCCTGAGAATGCTCTCTTCTCCCTGAACTTCTTTGAGGTGATAGAAGGGGTCAGGAGAGCAGGGAAAGAGGCCACGGTGGCAGCTGCCCAATCCCAAGCTGGGAGAGTGAACTTCTACCTCTTTCCAGACTGGGATTTCCTCCAGGTGGGGACTCCAGGCAGGAGAACACGTCTGACTGTGGATAAACAAGTCCACGGTTGACCAGGCACACAGACTTTGATCAACCTCAGCGAGAGAAGCCATAGAACCACACATTCCCTTGAGTGAGCAGGCTCCAGTTAATCCTTTATTATAGGCACTTCAGACGATATTGTGCTACAAACTACTCTAAAAACCCTCCCCAGAGCTTCCCCTAGGGTAGAGTCACCAATTTAAAGCCCTGTTTGGAAGGATTACTTTATTTGCATATGGTTTTCCTCATTGTGGTACTGAGCTGTACGTTGGGGGACTCCTGGCCAGTGCTACCAGTTGCAGGGCACCAAGATTTAGCCTCTACTGACTCCTAACCCGATTGCTTAAACTTCCTCTGTTCCAGGTGGTCACAAAAACACTAATGCGTTGAGGTTCCTTTCTTTTGAATTTTCTGTTTCTCCACAGGCTCCTCTAGATCTTTACCTTGAGTTCACTAACCTCTCATTTTATATTTCTGTTGACTTATTCCCATGCCCTCCCCTCATTCTGGATCACCAGCTGCCCCTTCCCAGAAATACCGTCACCCAACACCTACCTTACAAGTTGTAGTGAAGAGTAATTGAGATAACATGTGTAAGTACCAGGTGCACAGTAAACACTTATACAAATTAGCTATAATTATGTAAACAACAGTCATCCTGTGTGTGTGAGCTATAAATCAGGAAGTTCAAAGTGCACAGAAAATGCTCAGTAAGCTGAAAATTATTAAACAGTGACTGGTTACTACTATGGCCTGTCTGGGAGTCCAGCGTCCCTGCCTAACACCTTTATTTACTTATTCACCAAACATTTGTTGAGATTGGCAACGGCTGTTTGTCATATCCACAACTGCCCAATGTCTTATTTGTTTTAGTCTTTTAACAAAATCTTAATTGTGTTTAAATATGCATAATATAAAATATACCGTCTTAACTTTTTTTTTTTTTTTCTGTTCTGGGGATTGAAGCCAGGGGTTCTCTACACCGAGCTATATCCCCAGCCTTTATTATTATTTATTATTTTAATTTTGAGACTTGCTAAATTGCTCAGGCTGGCCTCTAACTGGCAATCCTCCTGTCTCAGCCTCTCTAGTAGCTGGGATTGCAGATGTGTGTCTTTTTTTGGAGAGGAACCAGAGAAAGAAAGCACAGCAGGTTCCCCCCTGGTTACTTCTTGACCTACAAAGGCCTTGGCATCCTCAGCTTTCCCTCTGCAGGACTGGGCCTGGCTTTCCATTTCATACCTCCCGAGATGACTGAGCCCCTTTTCTGTGCCAGGATCATCCTGGAAACATGAAGATTAGTAAGCAGGACTCAGCCCAGTAGGGCGGAGCCTCAACTGGGAGCTACTGAGAGACCTTTTTTTTTTCCCTTAATATTCTTATTGTGGTCTCTTAAGCCTTATCTCACATGTCTTCTCTCAATTTTGGGGACTCTCCAAGGGAGGTTCACATGTTCCATACGGGTTGCCATTTGTCATTCCCACCATCCTGCACAGGACATCATGCACGTCATGCCTTCTGCCCAATCAGTGTGTCCCTTACTCCTGCACACTTAGCAGAGGAACTTCTTTCCCTTTCAGATGAATATCTGCAGCCCATTCTTCACATCCTGGGATGACCAGAATGACAATGGGGATGTCCACTCCTTGTCCCCTCCCTCCTTGGTGTGTGTTTGCTTTGACAACACGTCATGACTGTCCCTGAAAACTCAATGGTCCAGCCTCAGCCATTGTGGCCTCAGTCTTGCGTAGCACCTTGGGGTGGGGGTGGGGGTGCTCTAGGTGTCACTACACTGATGTCCATCCCAGGGTCCTTGTGCTGTCTCTTTTCCAGTTCTAGGTGAAGACCAGGCCTGCCTCAGTTTCTCGTCTCCTTGAGAGTTGCCTACCTGAGACGACATCTTCCTGGGCCCGAGAGATGGTTCTCTGGTGCAGGACAGTCCAGACCCAGGCCTAGTGCGAGAAGTGTTTTCTGCTTGCACGGATACTCTCTCTCCCGGCATCTCCTGGACTCATTGGTCCCTGGGAGCCAAGGCTGTCTCCACTGTCTCCATAGCTACAGGGGCATTGCCTTACATCTTTACCAAAGAGAGATACAGGAGTGAATTTTTCCTAAAATAAAAGGCCATCTTCTCCCAGAGGTGAATTCAATTCTTGTAAAAAGAGAGATCAGCTTGAAGCTGTGAAAACACAGTTTTCCTCCCACACCCAACCTGCAGAGGTTTCCGGGATCTGGAAAAGAATTTTCGGATAGTGTTGCATCTCTGTTTCCTGTGTTGTCCTCTGCATGGGCCAAATCGTGCCCACCCCCCACCTCCCACGTGATTCATATGTTGAAGTCCCAACCCCTAGAACCTCCCCACGTGACTGTATTTGGAGATGGGGGCTCTAAAGAGGTAATGAAGGTACAACATGGTCATTACCAAATTATGGTGGGTCCTAACCCAATGTGAGTTTTGTCCTTAGAAGAAGCGATTAGGACACAGAGGAAAGACTTTGTAAAGACACAGGGTGAAGACGGCCATGAGAGAGGCCTCAGGACACACCAACCCTACTGGCACCTTGAGCTTAGACTGCCAGTCTCCGGAACTGTGGGGAAATGACTCTGTTGTCAAGTCACTCAGCTCTACAGAGCTTGTTACAGCAGCCCTAGCAGGATGACCATATCCTCTCCTTCAGCAGTCTTTGCAAAAAGCATCTCCCCATGAAACACTGTGCACACATCTGGAGACCTGGCACACTCTCCTGCCAGCAGTCTGGAGGGTCCAGGAGGGAGCCTGCTACTTCTGCATCTGTTCCCATCTGGGAGGGCATCTTGGCCAGGTGTATAGCTTCGAAGGGACATGTAGGAGTAGGAAAGACAGAAAGGGACAAACACCATTCTTTTTTTTTTAGGGGGGCAGTACCAGGAATTGAACTCAGAGGCATTCGACCACTGAGCCACATCCCCAGCCCTATTTTGTATTTTATTTAGAGACAGGGTCTCACTGAGTTGCTTAGTGCCTCATTTTTGCTGAGGCTGGCTTTGAACCTGTGATCCTCCTGCCTCAGCCTCCTGAGCCAATGGGATTACAGGCATGTGCCACCACACCCAACCAAACACCATTCTTGTCAGTCATAAAAGTTGATTCCACTCTGGCCTCAGATGAGGAGGGATCCTCATCTCTCACAACTATAAGACGCCAGCAGATCAGACACTCTAAAATCACCTAACATGGGAGTTGTCAGTCACATGTGCCTATTGAGCACTCGAGATGTGGCTCCTCCAAATTGAGACGTGCTCTAAGTGTAAAATACATGAAAACTTTTGTGGAGAAAAAAAACCAAAAAATTGTCTTTATATTTTTTTTTTGGTATTGATTACGTGTTGAAATAAT